GATGGCTAGAAATAGCAAGCATGATAATCTGTAAACTGTTCCTGACTTAGGGTGCGTTTGAGGCAGTCTGCGTTTATCCAGATAAGCAGCTTATCCTGAAACGCGACCCACGGGGTTCGACCTGCGGTTTGCGTTTAGGGTAAAAACTCAACCGCATTTTCAGATAAGTTGTTGGAACGTGTTTTCCAAACAGTGATACTGTGTTTTGAAAATGTTGCCCACACATAAGCTGCCCCAAATGGGTCCTTAATCAGCTTATCATCAGATTATTCAATAAGCTGCAGCTATCCCAAACAGATTGTTAATTCACTGCCTTTATTCATTACATGTATTGCGTATTTGAACCCGACAGCCGGAATTTATAATAGAGAAATAAAATTCGACAAAAATCAATATTAAATTCAAAATAAAAAACTAAAGGAAGATTTACTTACATACAACTCAATTCTTATGTACATACACACCTAACATCTAACTTCAATTTGTTATATATATGCCCCATTTTTTATTCATGAAAATATATATATTTCACTTTTTTTCAAAATTACAGCATGAACATTTTTTATGTGATATAAAAGATTTACATGGCATAAATATAAAAACAAAACGTTTAGGTGCTAGATATATAAATATATAAGAATTGGTTGCCATGTATGTAAATGCCCAAACATAAAAAATCTCAAAGATCTTTAAGCTGTCTAAGGTTCATAGGATATATGTAATTGGTATCCCCATCAAGGAAGTACTTGGCTATAATAACATTAGCCGCTTCACTCGGATGATATGGATCCCAAAATAAATACTTTGAACGATCTTGGCACATGAGAGAAGTTGGCCCGCACGGCACTATCCCAGTCATTGGTCCATTGCTGCAGCAAGCAGAGCTTGAAGACTTGAAACCTGACAAAATTTTCATAAAGTATTCTTATATGCGTGCAATAATTTTTTGCATGAAGTCATATTTATGAGTCAGAGATCGGAGTTACCATATGATTGGGGGTTTTTGATGAGCTCCAGCACAACATCATAGACATTTGCATGTATTATTGTGGCTCCAGGAAGGTTCTCATTAAGTTCCATGAGCAAGTCCTTCAAACGGGCGTTGTATTTTAGAGCCATTTGGTTAGGTAGCTCGACGCAGCCGGTCGAGCCGACCGGGTTAGTCGTTTTCTGATAAGGTATGCAACCAATTGGTCCGATACTTCCCATCACAAACTTCCTTGCATCAAGAGAGTAGAGCCTCTGCCATTAAAATCATACAATTTCTCATCAGAAGTAATTAATGCTAAAACTTAAATGATACTCATTTGATTCTAAAGTATGATTATGTTTCAGGGGCTGTTTGGGGCAGCTCACCGTTTGAAAAACACTTTTCGACAGCTTAACCGAAAATGAGGTTGGGTTTTTACGCTAAACACAAGCCGCGGGTCGAACCCCGCTGGCCGCGTTTCAAGATAAGTTATTTATCTGAATAAGCATAAACTGTCCCAAACGCACCCTTAGTTTAAAGAAAAAAAACTTATATATATAAGTATATATATACCGATAGCTGTACTCTTAGATTTCTGATAAGATTATCAACAAACGTATCTGGAGTTTCTAAGATCCTTTGCCCCACAGACACAACAGGAAGGAGGTAGTTGTTGAGGAAATCATTAGCTCCTATGGTGATGGAGAATATGGACTTCTTCATTATATACTCTTTGGCTTTCTCTTTGCCCAGCAATCCATCAAACTGCTTCCTGGTGGTGTTAAAATAGTCTATCTGGACGTCCATTCCAAGCCTATTAATCTGCACAAATTTATTTTTCTTAAAGCAGTGAGTTACTGAATGATGAGCAAAGAATATTAGAAACAATTAAAAGAAGATTATGGATTGTCTCATGTACAAATATTGTTCCGGTTTGATTCATAATTCCTCCTCCTCCAGAAGCGTAGTTCACGCCATGCAGTATGGCTGAGCCTTTAGTAGTTGGAGCTAGAAATGGTGGTGCATAGTTTGGCTGTCCTAACTCCTCACCTGATAAGATTTAAAGTAGGAGATTCAGTGGTAACTTAAATAATCTTGAATTTATTCTTGTCATCAACATCTACCTAATAATGTTATTATGATATTAGGAAAGTCATAATTTTTTTATATTTTTTTTTGCTGGGAAAGGTGAGCCGAAAGAACAGTACGTGCGATTCGAACCAGTGAGATACTTCACTGGGAGAGACTACACCCTTACCCACTATGTTGTGGGCAAGTGCGCTAACTTTTTGATTCATCGACTGTTTTATAAAGTAATTGAATAAGAAAATTTTAAATCTATGTACAACATTTTGGTGTTTTAAGCCTATGTATGTAAAGGTGTATATC